GGGAAAAAGAGGGGAGAGTGGTTGAGTTTGTTTTTCAACTTTAATTTTCTAAATTTTTTTAATTTAAAAATAAAAATTATATATTTAATTATTTGTTGATGTGGACGCCAATATGGATGCTGACATGACAGTCTCTGTTACAAATTTAACGATGGTAACAGACTGTTAGCCATATCATAACCCGCAACTATAGTTATGGATATTAATTTGTATATTGATAGTTGAGGATATAAATCCCCGATCCATAATAGTTATGGATATTATATTGTATTTGCCCTAATTTGTATTGAGAGATTAATATTTGACTTTTATTTTGATAGGAACTTGTTACTATAATTTTTTTACGAAAAAACTCATGGGTACCCATGAACCCACGGATACCCAGTGGGTCGGGTTGGGTTTAAGTTTTTCAAACCCAATGGGTTTTACCCATGCGTTTGGGTTTGAGTTTGGCAAAATCCGACCCAACCCGATCTATTGCCATCCCTACAAGCCAGTTCATTGATTTTGTAAAAAGTGGAAATTCGTTTTCAAATTTCCACATCGACCCCAGAATTAAAATTTTTAAGTGACAAAGTAGGAACAAATTACTAATCTTAAATGACCATGCAACTTGCCAACTCCAACCCAGCAGGCCCACCCAACTCCCAACTGGCCAGTGGACGACCTCGACCTCTAGCTAGGCCCGGCCCAATACCTCTTACCGTTGCCGACGCGACATCTTTGCATGTCAAATAACTTTTTACAAACAAATCGAGAAATGAAATAATTAAAGTAGGTGCGATGCGACGGTGACAAGTAGTACTAAACGAGCCGTACGTTGCATGGCATTGAGGAATTTGGTGGAGCCGAGCCGACGACTCACTCCCAATTAGGGGTGTCCATTCGGATTCGGTTTCGAGTTTACCCAAAACCGACCCGATTATATATATTTTCGGTTTTTCGGGTTCGGGTTTGTTTCGGGTTTCGGGGGTTTTTAGTTTCGGGTTCGGTTGCTTATCGGTTTTTCGGGTTCCGACTAAAAACCTCCAATGAATAGAACTCAACCCGTATTCTTAGGCGTTCGGGTTTCAATTTTGCTTTAACCAAACCCAAACTCGATAAGAAATTTTCGGGTTTCGGGTAACCGGAACCCACAAGTCCTTATCGGATTCAGGTTTGGTTTCAGTGATTTTCGGTTTCGAATTTTCGAATTTTTTCGGGTTTCGGTTCGAGTAACCGAACCCGACCCGAACTGACACCCTTACTCCCAAGAAGTTGGTAACTTGAGAGAGAGAGAGAGAGAGAGAGTGTGTGTGTTGAGTAAGTCATTCACCCACACGCAGAATGGTGGCTGGCTCACCTCCACAAAAATCCCCCACCTCGAGCCCAACCACCACTATTTCCCTCAAACCTGAACACTGAAACAAAACTTCTTCATTATAAATAAAATGGAGATCGAGTTTTCCTAAGGCAACCTCATAAAATCAACACATGAAAGAGAGTACTATACCGGCCTGATGAAAGCTAGCTAAGCTTAGTTCCCCAAAAAGTTCAGCCGTTTTCCATAATTGCTTGCAATTTGCTTCTATATTAGTATATATATATGCATCTAGTTGCCTCCCAAACTCCAACCGAAGATGATCATTCGAAAAATAACTCACATGCAAGGTATATATATATACATCATTTAGGTTTCCTCTCGGATCGTTATTTGAATCTAACCCATCTTTTGTTATATGCGGTTGAAGTTGATTCTCCTGTATGTATATTGGTTTCCTGATTGTTTATCTTAAGATTAGAATATATGGAAGCAGTGAATCTTGGCTTTTCTTTCTTTACAATATATGCGGCCGCGCCTTAAGGAGCAGCAGGAGTGTTCCAAAAGCATTCATTCTTTTACAAGCTTAGCTTGTACTTTTCGGTTGATCAAGTTACAATTGGCAAAAAAAAAAAAAAAACACAAAAGGGTGATTAAATTAGCAGCCACTAATCTATCATCAATGAAGAAGAAGAACCCAGCTCTTGAAATGTGAAATCGACGAAAAATATGAGATCTTCTCTTCCTGTTTTTTTACGAAGATACGAATATGCACAGTTAATGTTTTTATATGTCTTTTTTTTTTTTTTTGTAACAAAGAGCTTTCTTGTATATACTCTGAGAATATTGATTAGGTTTTAACTTGTGAATGATGCACCCATGATTATATATAAGATCTAATCTTAGATATTTTCCAATAATTTAAATTAGTAAAGTGAATTGATTGTTATTATGCTGTCAAAGTTTTTTTACTGAAAGTTTCGTTTTCCAAACCTACTGACCTCATTATTAATGCACAAAATGTATGAATCTTTCTAGTTTTCAAATCCAAGAAATGGTTGCCTGCGTGAGAGGATGTATATCGAACAAACTGATTTTTTACCCGTTTATCGTGCTTCAACATGTAAAAATCTAGCATATCTCATGTTTAGATACACTATTCATTTTGGTCATATTGATTTGACTTGAGATTTGAAGCTTTATCTTATATATATGTTTTCATTTGTTGGCAGGAAGGAAGCCCTTCAACATTTGGAACACTCATTTGAGCAAAAGATATTATGAAGCAAACTGATGTCTAGGGCGCATAGGTCAAGGTTCATGAGAAGCCTCGACCTCGGACCTTCATCAGGATAAATTAATGCGCCCAATTTGCCGTAGATGATGATTTGCTGTACATAAAGCAAGAGACGAACTACAAAACAATGGGCAACCGCGGCGGTGAAAAAATATGGATCGATCTTTAACCGTTAATAACTTCATGTCTTGTGTAAAAAAAAAGTAAACAATAATTTACCCATGACATTTTTATAGTGTAATTTATGTTGAAGTTAGAACCTTTTTTTCTTTTCTTTCAGATTCAATCAAGGTCAATTGATAAAGTAAATATCATGTTGAAAAACATTTGATGACTTGATAGTACCAATCTTGTTGTGATTAATATCATCAGACAGTGATTATCATATTTGTTCAGTGTTTATTGTTTTTGGTTGATATTGTTGCACTTAGGGGGAATCATGCACACAACAAAACCTTATAGCACAGTTCTAAAATGCTTGTCCTCCTCATTGCACGCTTTCACAAGGACTGCATGAACATTATTTCTTTCTAGCACATGTGTTTATTGTGTGTTCATGTGTGTGTCTAATTGATCCCTTATCTTGTGAATCAAGTAACCTCCAAAATGGCACTCATTTGGAGGTACTAGAGTTTTAAAATTGGTACAACTCCTTTTACTTTTGCTTTATTGCATAAAGATAAAGGATAGGTATGTTAATTAAGGACTTAGTTCATATGTTTTATTGCATAAAGATAAAGGATAGGTATGTTAATTAAGGACTTAGTTCATAAGTACCTAGATAGGTTTAGGGTCATATACACCTAAGTCCATATGGCAATCGGTTCGGTTATGGACATGTACCTTCCCGGGACATGGCCACACCCACATCGAAGAATGATGAGGCATCATGAACAGTTGCATCCTTTCTCGCACTTGGTATTAGAGGACAACTTGTATGCGTATCAATGTGACAACATACTCAATTTGTCGGGTGACGAGGCTAAAATGACTATTTTTATCTCATTTCGTGTATGATAAGCCTTTCCTCACAAGGGGGGCTTTCGATTGACTTCTCTTGAGCCCTCCGCGACTAAGTCGAAGTAACTTAGAGTACTCTCAAAAACATGTGCTTCAAGTACATTTGTACCAGTTAAGTCTTGAATTTGGAAGGGAAAAAAACTCACAAGGCTTGCCGAGCGCGTCTATCAAATGATACCAATTCTCGAAACGTTGTCGTCTCCCTTGGTGAATTATCATGGTATGCAGAAAGGAAAACACATGTAATTTTCCTTACTACCAAGGAAAACTATGATTAGCCACAAACAAAGAAAAAGATATAGTCTAGTGCATTTATTTTGGGGAGTAATCCTCCCACATGTACTTGGGGTAGGTCTCCTAACCTATTGTAGAGAATTATGGTATGATTTGAATAATATTGGTGGATTCCTATTAATCTATGTCAAATTGGTTGTGTTTAATGATCGTCCATTACCTTGATTTGTATGTGAGGTTCTTTACCTACGAAGGTGATCATCCAATTAGGTCAAGTCGAGACCTAAACCCAATTGGATTAATGGATGGGTGAATGCATAACCTTGATTTACTTATCTATGTGTGTGATGGGGTTTTTGCTAATTTGAGAATCGAGTTTAACCCCTAATTAGGTGGCTACTCACATGATGAGTGATTTGACCTAACTAGCTAGGAGACAATTGAGTGTATGATCACTAGGCAATACCCTAATTTGTAACTGTTGCACCATAGAATGGTAGAAAGGATTCAATTGGACTCTTTGTCACTAAATTCTCATGGTTTATGTTGGGGTGCAATTACCCCAAGTCCTCTTTTATTCTCGGGACGGTTTAAAATAATTACAATTGTAGTTTGTTTAGTTCGAACATTCTCACTTGTTGACTAGATATACAATTTAATTCACAAATTGTAGTCATTTTCGAGCTCAAGAAATATGACAATGATCACCACTTTACTACTTCGTCAATTTAAGATAAACCTAACTTAAATCGCATACAATACAAGAAACCGAGTTTTGAAACGAAACAAATTATTGCATCCATAATGGAGCACTGCAGAGGGAGAAGAAGGATGTGGATTTCGCAAGTTATTGATGATTGGCTTTTGGCCATACCCAACTAGAAAGAAAAGCCAGAACCTTGGAGAGACAATTTTGAGGTCCAACCAACAAAAGCCAGGACTTCTAATCTAATCCATTCTGCAGGGTAGTAGTCGATCTAGTCAACTCATCCACTTGACAACGATGTCCGAAAATTGTCGGATTCCACCACCACGTCCAGCTTAAATCCGTACAAACCATGGATTCTGCAAATTGCAAAACGCCAAACAAAATTATCAGAGGTCCTATTCATAAGAATTTATAAAAAAAATAGTTCCATTCTCAGAGGTCCCCTGCAAACAAACTACCTTGAAGAACTCTGTCTTGGACATGAACTGCTCTGTTTTCCTGTATTTATATAATTTTTCTCGAACCCAATTCAGCAGAACTTAGTTCAGACCTTCCAATTTCAACTCAGATTTTAAACAAATGGATAGATCAAGTAATTACTTGATGGGTCACGAGATGCAGAGCAGTGACAGAGAAAGAAGAAGCCAGAGGAACGACGACGATTACGATTGTGATGATGATGCTTTCTACGCGGAGATACGAAGGCAGATTCTGCTTATAACAGCTGGAAATGGTGATGATGATGATGAAATCGACGGCAACCGGAGGCGATGCGGGAGAAAGCGGCCGCCGACGCGTGGAGGCAGAGTACTACTGCAGGTGGCTCCATCGGCGGGAAGATACTTCAGCTGGTGCGAGGAAACGGATAGGATATTTGGCGATTCTTCTTCTTCTTCTTCTTTGTCGTCTTCGGTTTCGACTCCAGACTGGCTTGTGAATCTATGGAGTAATAACAAAGCTAGTGGCAGTGTTGTTGGGACTGGAGTCTTCATCCCTCAGATTGTCAAATCCGGAGGACGAAGCCGACCCAGTAAGTGAAAATTAGTAACTTTTCTTGGGTTTGTTCCAAAATATTGAATTTATCAATTTGATTTAATTTTGGCGGTGGGTTTTGCAGGGAGAAGGAGAAATGAAGGGAACAAGATGAAGAACAAGCACGCAGTACAGAGTGTCTGATTAGTCTCTCTCTGGAATTCTACAGCTCTTTCTCCTCTATGGTTCGTTGTTCCTTTTTTGGGTTTAGAGACAAAAACTTAATGGAGAGGACATTCAGTTCGAATTGGAGATTTTGGCTTCTCTTAGTCCTCTGTATACAAGATTCAGTGCTTGGGTTTTGATGTTTGGGAGTGGAGTTCATATATCTATGGATATAGTTGTTGTACATAATCGTTTTCTCTTATATACTGAATTCATTCCATTCCATTGATTGAGTTGAGTAGGCACTTGTTTCACACCATTCTGTTGTTCTCTTCAACTTTCGTTCAAGTTTCAGTTCTTCAAACTTAAGCAACGAGAAGTAACAAAATCCGTTTATACATTGCTCAATGTTAACTTTCTATAGCATTGGAAACATGGACATGACTAAATATTGGATAATTACATCGCGGTTTAAAATTTAAATCTTATTTTGGTTATCATACAAAATACTACATATATATATAGGAGGCCTCAATCAGATTGTCGAGTTGATTCTCCTGTCATCGTGATTGAGTCTACCATCATGATGATCAAAATTTATCTTAATTTCGGTGAAGAGTCTCTCATCATTATGAAAAATTAATAAGGAACTACGTAATAATTAAAAATTAAACTTGTTTGTTTTGTGAGGCATGCATAAAGTACTAACAATATTTTTGTCAAGTTTTGCTTAACTCCATTAGTTGAAATTTTGTTTTTTATAGGGTCTATCTCTAAGTGGGTGACCGGTTCAACTGATCGTTAATGTGGCCTATATGTATAGGGTTACAAATAATTAAAACTATTAAACAAATTCCCGACGCACCTTGAAGGACCGCTTAATTACGATGATCAATCAAAAGAGAACATTAGGAGGATCGATAATTATTTGATTTGCATACGATAAACAGGTAGCCAGCCATGATTAGATAATGGATGCTTGATGCATAATCACCTCCCCAAATAATAATCCCGTCGAAGATGGATTAATTAATTAATTAAGTTATCATTATCCATTCACGTAGGAATAGGATAACATGGCGTATTGAAATTGACGCACTTAAATCCAAACTAATTGACAACAAAGAAATAAAGTAAAATCTCCCCCGCTTGATCCTCTAAGTGGAGAGCCGATAACGTGACAAAGGCTTTTGGATCGATGGAGGATTTGTACGATAAAAAAATATTTCTTTCGCATGATTTAGTAATACATGTATAGACGTATAATGAAATGGTCATTTCATTCATTTTCATCACAAACTCCGTTAATATGAGCGAGTTAACAATCTACGTTATCCAAAATATTAATAAAAAACTTCACTTAACCATACAAATGAACCACCCGATCCAACACGGCCCACCCAAACTCATCTCACCCAAACTCGATCTAATACACCCACTTCTTAAAGAGTACAAATGTAAATGTGACAAGATGCGAGAAAACTAAGGATTGTGCTGAAACGTTCTCATCCAAGTGACCCTCTATTTTTTGTCATGTGAAAAAATGAGAATCCTTGAAACAAAATTTCATATGTATAAATTTTTACTTGTATCCTTCAATTCGTTCAATGATTTTCATAGTTCATAAAAAATGATTTTGTTAGTTGTCCTAAATACAAGAAGATAAATGCATACTTAATTATTTTTCTAGCCACAAGCTTGCAAATTGCAAATTAATATCACTAGTGTCTCGGTCACCTCCTAAAAAATCAACAATCTGATGAGATCAAGTGTAACATCTCACACCTTTTCCCGACAAGATACTGTCCGCTTTGGGCACCCGCACGATTTTCCCTTGGGGCGCAATTCAGGGTGACTTCCCATAAGATCACCCGTCCTTGTTGTGCTCCACACTGAGCACGTTTAACTTCAGAGTTCTCACAAAAACTCCTCCATTACACTTCAAAACGCGTCTTGTCAGTTAAGGCCGATTTTCTACTTATGAACCATGGATCTCTCCCGTGCTTTGTCGATGTGAGATTCGCCTAAGGTGTTACATCAAGTGATCAACCCTTGTCAAAAAAAAAAAAAAGAAGTGATCAACCATTTCATTCCGCTCAACAAAATCATCCGCATAACCGCACACCTGTTAAATTGTAACAAAGTGATGATAGAATTGAGATAATGTGATAGCAAAGATAAGATTAAATTCAGACTTTAAAAGGAAAATAGTATCTTCAACAAGTCTAATCATTGAGGTTTGGGTCAATCAAAGCAAAACAACAAATTTTAGGTTTGGGCCAAGCCTGAACTTTTGGGCTCCTCTTTTCACCGATGGTGGATTAATATAATCTTCTGAAAGGCCATTCAATTATATGGAACCCACGCTAAGTGCTGATCATGTTCTATAATTTATTTATTTTTTCACTATGGTTAGAGTTGCTAATAAGATCATTCTACCAAAAACATAAAAAGAGATGTGAAATCCTAACTAATAATAATTTTTAACAATAAGATACAGAATCAGAGTATGATATCTCTATTATTATATAAAATTATTTATACTTTGGACACAGAACATTGAAAAATAGATAACATGCAGGCTGAAAGACAATTAGGAGCCACTTGGCAAGTTCTGCGGCCGGACGGATGAGCCAAGATCTTCATAAAATAAAATAAAATACCGTATTTGTATTTGAATTTGTATTTGTGCAATTATTTTCTTCATTTTGTTCCAAAAGCAAAGCTACAATCTGGGTAGTGGGTTACCGATACAATCTGGGTCGTGAAATGAACACTTTTTTTTTTTGGGTTCAAGATGTTTAATAGCTGCATAGCATAAGTTGTTGTCATATTGTTAGGGGTCGTTTGGAAATTGCGATAGTTTTGTTGAGATTGTCATTATGCATGTATTGTTTACAATGTATTATTTTTTTTTGTTTTTTGGTAAATACAATTTAATATCCAAACCTTTTATTTTAAACAATATAATAGCCAAACTTTTTCGAAAACAATCTAATATCCAAATCGTCAACTTTCTGTCTGTTTGACCGTTAGTTGACACTTCAAAAAAGTTTGAAGTACGACACTTCATCAATATCCATCGATATCTTCTCTGAAAAACCACCAACATATCGTAGTTCCAAACCCGAGAAATCCATAACTCCACCATGATGGTATAGAATATCTAAATATTCAGTCATCTGCAATGCCAAAACAAGAAATAAAGTTGTATTGTGACAATTTCCCCTAAACAAAGCTTTTTTGAAGTGTCAACTAACGGTCAAACGAACAAAAAGTTGACGATTTGGTTATTATATTGTTTTCGAAACGGTTTGGCTATTATATTGTTTAAAATGAAAGATTTGGATATTAAATTGTATTTACCCTTGTTTTTTTAGCAGAAACAATACATGGATTGTTTCTATGATGTGACAGAAACTATCACTCATTTTGAGTGATTGTTATATCTCAACTTTTAGTTGTGATTGTTGAGATAGTTGAGTTGAGATTGTTTTGCCTCAGCTTTTAGCTGATGCGACATACACAATCACACAAACCAAACGTTGTATTCTACAATGCATCAAGTTCGACAATACATGTATAATATTATACATGCATTATCAACAATACATCTATTTAACAATCGCAACTTCCAAACGACCCCTTAATTCTGAATTATTCTAGTTTATCGAACATATACTTATCATTCTCAGTCACAATTCTTACGTTATATGTTTTACGAGAAATCATGCTCCACAACCTTAGGGTGACGATGTATCGACATCTGAAACACTATGGCAACATACACTTATCGTTTTTTAGTCATTACTATGTGCTTTGAACATCAGACACGATAGGTTTTGTGTTACTAGAGGATTCACCAACACAAGGATGCTCAATTATGCATGACATCCATAGGGAAAAGTGTGCTCCAATGTTGTCGATTGGGCGAGACAGCAGGCTACACAGAGATCATATACGAAGAGTCTCATAGCGTCAATTACCTTTTTTTGCATGGAACTCATGGCGAGCACAATACTTTTTTTATTGTGATGTTAACTTATCGACTATCCAATCACCTCATGGCTAGAAACCAATGTTGTGAGAATCGAACCGGAACATGACCCGGTAATGCGAACAGCTCGCACTTTAGTGGTCCAACCGGCATTAGACCGTTTAAAAACCGTTAGAGAACCGGTACCTAATAAACGTTATCAGTATAAATTGTGGACATTTCTTAATCAGAGCTCGTCTCTTTCCTTCGAAATTGTGAAATGGAAATAAGGATTCAGTTTGAGAGCCCGACGGTTTAGGTTTATGTCAATTTTTTGTAATTTTTTTAATTAAATTTAACGGTTGAATGGCAAAGACCGGACGAGCGGCTCTATCGGTTAACCGCCTTGATTGCTCGTCAACCACTACATAAAACCGGAGCGGCTTTTAGACTGATCCGAACCGATTTTGTCACCGGGTGACGGTTTTACCGGCCGGACCGAGCGGCTCGGCTCGGCTTTAATAACACTGCTAGAAACACCTTTTTTAGATGAAAATGCATTTAAGGTTGTTTGTCATGTAATAAAAAAAAATCGCTACGTGCACAGAATCTTGTATTCAAACACCTCGACGTTTGATAATCAAACACCCTCCAATAGATGTAATGTCTCGGTCGTAATATCTAGACATTTATGAACTCAAGTGACATACTTGTTCTTCAACCGATAAAACTTATTTTAACGATTCATTACGCCCCGAAACATAATAGAAAAGGAGATTCGCCAATGGACGTATCCCTTGCGCTGGAAACAAACAGGTTCCATGAACCAAATCCCCATATCCATTTCCAATTTGATTATGGATCTCCCCCAAAACCATCCAAACATAGACCCCAAAAACAATTTGATTAATTCCTTCCCTCCCAAGTCATTTCCAGATTCATGCCACATTCCCCAAATCAACTGAAATTCAATGCAATACAAAACTAAGCAAAAGGAGTCAACTTCTCTCATAAACGTACGTAAGTGGGAAAGCATTACTGAATTGAATGAATTTGGGTACTTCTATTTCCAGACATTTGGAGACACCTCCTCATCGCCGCAAATTTTTCCCCATTAAATAATTTCTCTGAACCAAAACACCGTTTTCTTCCCTTCTTCCCCTTTGCCATCAAAGCAACACGTTCTTCTGCTCCCTCACACCCTTTCCTTCCCGATCTCAACTCTGTTATAAATACCCATCACCCCTTTTCCTTCCTCAATCATCACCCAATTCACAGCGAGCCCTTTCGGCTTTACTTCTCTTTTGCGAAACGGAATCCAACCCATTAGTCCGAAAGGCCCAATTTCTTTAGCGCCATGGATGTTCTGTGCGACACAGAGGGCCGGAGGGTTAATGTTGGTGGTGGGATTTACGGTGATGGTGATGATCATCAGCTTGAAGACGACGACTTCTACGCGGAGCTTGTAAGGCAGGTCCTGATTTTGACGGCCGATGACGACGATTCCGCCGCGAGTACTCCTCGCCGCCGGGACAATGTTGGGTACTTCGATTCGATGGCACAGCCTGCTGCTGCAACTGGAGGCTTATTCTCTAGCAGTTCCTATTCTCTACCAAATTGGCCGGCGGTGAACGTGTCGAGGAACGGTGGTACTGGTGTTTTCATTCCTCTAACCGCCGCCAAATCCAGGAGAAGGAACGGGAATGGTAATAATGGTAAGTGGGGTTTTTTTTTTTACCTCTGTGGTACTCTGCAAAAGGGTTTAGGGTTTTCAATACCCGCGGTTTTGGTTTCGCGTTTGGTGCTCAATTGGGTGCTTGTTCGTTGCGCGATTTGCAGGCAGACGAGGCGGTAGCAGTCACAAGCAACAAGCAGAGAAGAAGATGGTGCAGAACAAGCACTGACGATTCATCCAACAAGCAGATTTTCTGGTTTACAAATCTTAGGAGGAGACGTAGTAGTCGAACACATGAAGCAAGATGGGTAAAAACCCTTATCTTGTAAGGTCACTAATACCACAGTTGTATGCGAAGATTTTGTTTGGTTTCAGATGTTAGTTTCCATTGAATTGCTCTGAAACTGCAGGCAACCATGAACATCGGTTGCTTTTTTGTTCGCAACACCAATCCATCTCAATAACAAGAGCGTCAATTTCGTCCGTAAATTAGTGTGAATTGTCATTCAACCTACATTACATTTCGGCCTGCAAATTCTACAGTAATCTTCTCTTGTACTAAACATATCCAGACAACTGGAGAAATGACAACAGAAACAAAATCTGAGAGGAATCCAAAACCAGTTGTCCCATCATTTCCCCCCACACACCAAAACGTTCTTTTTTTATGAACCTATCAATCTCTTGGTCGTGCCATCCATAGAGAACTCAGTGCCCTTAACCGAGAGGTGTAGTCGCTGATGACGAGCAGGGCACGAGCAGCCTGCCGAGTCGTCAGGATTCGATGCAGCTGCTGCAGAGTCTGCTGCCGCAGAAGGTCAGCCTGGTGAAGGAAATTCTCCAGAGTGGCGAGCTTGCCCATAGCAATGGCCATCTGGCCCATGTAATCCGCCACATTACCAGTGCCTGCTGGTCGCAGGGACGACGAAGAGAGCGTGTCGACAAGGGATTGCTGCAAGGCTTCCATCCCTTGCGACAAAGCATCTTCGGCCTGCTGAGATGATTGCTGCAGATTGCATATCCCCACTAGCTGCTGATCCGTCAAAGGCTCCAGCTGGTTCCCTAGTATCTGGGATTTTTTCCACGTCAGGAAGAAAATGTTTTTGAGTAAGAGAAGAGCATAGAAGATCTAATTTTGATCCTATTCCGGTTTTTGGGTTGATACTGGTGGAAGGTTACCTTGAGTAGTTCAGAAGAGCGGAATCCACCCAACCACATGAAGCACCTCTCGGCCGGAGTCTTCCACATGCCGGAGAGCATGTGGAAAACATCGGCCTTGGCCGCGATGCTCTTCAGCCTGAATATCTCGTCGTAGTGATCCATGACGCCGTCGACTAGAATGCGAAGCTCGTTGTCGCCCATCTGGGAGTTCACGGCGGTTCTCAACTCGTTGATCAGCCTCTGATGCTCGTCGATCCATCGTGCGTATTCCATGTCGAATGCCATCGCACCACCGCCTCCATTTCCTGATACTGAGTGGCCATGGTAGTCCACCGATGCACCTGTGGAGGCGGCGAAAATTCCCTGTTGGCGCGCACGTTGTAGTTCTTGTTCGAGTTGGGTAAGCCTTAAGCGACTGTTCTCAAGCTGCTGGACATAAGCCTAATCCAAAACCAAAAACTTATGATTCCGTCGAAATGTGTTCATTCATTCATATACATTGTAATTTTTGCAAAAACAGATTGGTACCTTCTTCCTCAGGCGACTCTTTCTGGCTGCTTCCCGGTTCTGAGCCAACCTTCGAAGACTCTGCTGCACAAGGGAAGAAAGCAAGCAGCAGTAAGGGAAAAAGGGCTATCAAATTGACACTTAAGAAAATGAACAAATTGACAGCTCAAGAAAAGGAGAAACCTTTTGATCATCGATTTTGCCCTTGGATTGATCCATGGAATCAACCACCAAAATTGAGCCATGTTGGCCACCATCACCAAGCTGCTGCTGCTGCTGCAACCAGAAAAAGGAAGCAACCAGAAAAAGCTTGCCTTTTCATCAACCCATCTCAGAACAATTAACAAATCCCCTTTGTTTTTTTCATGAATTACTGATAATTAGCTACTAAAAAGCAGAGTACTGGAAACGGATTAGGATCACAACACAAAGCACAAAAAGAAGGACAAAAGGTGACACTGTACTGTCTCCCTCTTTTTTCCTTTCGGAAAAAACAATATAGATATCCATATGGAACAAAATCCACAAGGAAATACAAAAAAAACTGAGCACATTGCACAGTGAGAGCAGTAGGGGGGAATTAGGGGGGAAGGCAGCTGATTCCTCAATTCCGAAACAGACCCACCACCACCACCACCACAGATTCGGAGCAGAAAGATTCTCACTTCTCCTCTCCCCAAGCTTTAACCAATGGGGAAAACAGAGCATATGTGCAGAGAAAGAGACAAATTCCTAAGAAACCCAAGAACTGACCTGGTGGTGAAATTGGTTTCTTTCCTCAGTATCGACATCTGTGGAAGTGTCAGTAGTCTGCTGGCTCGTATCTCCTCCTCCTCCTGCACCCATCCCAGTCGAGGTTGAAATTGAATCCCCCCACTTCTCGAGATTACCACCACACCTACTACTGTTGTTGCTATTGTTGTTGTTATTCTGCTGCTCGTTCCCCAACAATGTCGCTCTCCCGTACAGGTATTGCCCTGTGTCCAAACACCCTGCCGCTGCTACCTCTCCGATCCCAGTCTACACCATAAACGCGAAAAAAAGCCAGAGACTTTGTAAACAAATGGTAATGTCAAAGGGAGTTGTACTGAATTCTGATGTTGCTACCGTAATCAATGGCGAAGCGAAATGTAAACTGCTGTTGCTTGCATGGGCGAGGGCGACATTGTTTCCTGATTTTGAACTGAACATGGAGCCTACACAAACCACCACCAAACCCATGTTTTTAAAGGAAAGAAAATTAACAACCCATGACTTTTACAACACGAAAAAAGGCTCGGTGATAGACTTACTTGGGCTTAAATCAACAGCATGGTGGTGTTGGAACGCAGAAGGAGGTGGGGGGAGAGAGTGGGTGGTTGTTTGTTGGGGATGATCAAGCTCCCCAAGGTCACCAAAGCGGGTTTGGCTTCTACAGTCTTCATCTTCTTCTCCTCCTCCTCCTCTGTTTTCCGTGGTGGGGAAGGTGGGAAAAAAACAGAGCAAGTCAACTATTTATGCAGGGACTAAAATAAACTCAGCCAATGATGGCTTTCAGAGAAAAAAGACGAGGGAAAGGGGTTACCGGAAAAAGTAAGGAGGTGGCGGAACAGGGGAGTTGCAGTACATTTCAGAGGTATGGAAAACAGTAGAAGGAATGGTATCGTGATGATGGTGATGATAATGATGGTGGGATGATGACGCTGTAGCCCTGAAGCTTTGCATCTTCAGAGTAACGGAAAAAAGGAACAGAAAACAGAGCAGGGTGCTCTGTTTTTGTGTTTCTGTGTTTGTGTTGTAATAAAGATGCTTTTTTCGCTCTGTTTCTCAGAGTAAAAGAAAGAACAAAAACACGAAAGTGAAGTGAAGATTTCGGTTTTCTGAACCAGCAATCAGAGGTAAGAAGATACGAGAAGAAATGGGGCTATGGGCTATGGTGGGATGGGAGATTTCACTGTTGAAGAGCTCGAGGAAGATTAGTAGGTGAGAGAGATATCAAGCAAACAATAAATGAGCAAGTGAAGCATAGTTAAATGCTTCTGGTGTTATGATGGGTTGCTTGCTGCTGAGACGTTTGCTTTGATTGCAGTTGCAGAGAAGAGGAAAGAAGAAGGGCAGAGTGTATGAAGGAAAAAGGGAAAGAGAAGTGAAGTTGCAGTAGTAGGGGTTGGTTCAGGGTTGATAGAGGGAGGGAAAGGGAAAATCTTTTGGTATGATCGTATCAGTACTGCTTCTTTTTATGTGACAGCAGGAAGGAGAAGAAGAAGAAAAGTGAAACTCTGAATGAAAAATTGAAATGGGTTTTGAGAAAATTCTATGATAGGATAGGGAGAGCCCTGCCTTCTTTTTTCTCCCTTGCTGAGTTCTTCTGCCATATTAGATTTTAGTTTCCCGATATACACTCTCCTTGTTAGGGCATGTTTGGAAGTTGAGATTCTCCAAATAGATGCATTTAGGCGTCGTTTGCTCGATGGATTTGGGTTATGGATTTGGAACTCAAATCCCAAGCATGATGGATTTTAGCCAAGTCCATTATTTTTTGTCAGGTGTTAAATCCGTGGGGTCCACGGATTTATTCTCCTTTTTTGGGATCCAAATCCGTGGACCCCACGGACTTGTAAATCTCATATATTGGGTTGGGATTTGTAAATCCTTGATGGCTAGTTATATTTATAGCAAATCCATTATAATTATATCATCAAATCTATCATGCAAACAATAGACTCTTCAAATCCATTATGGTACAAATCCCTCATAAATCCAAAGGTTTTTTTGAGCCAAAACCCTCATTTTTCAAATCCAACAAGCAAACGACCCCTTAATCAATTCATGTATTATTATTTGATGTATTGATTCAATGCATGTATTAAGAAAATACCTTGTTTGGAAAGATAATGATTGACAGATTGAGCAAAAAGTATGGTAGACAATCCCTTGTTAACAATCTCTACTTTTTATAGAGATTTACAATCATTCATTTTGAGTGATTGTGGGTGGGTCAGGAAAAAGGTAATACATGCATTTTAACTCAAATTGAACCACGACTTAATCTTATCATTACATGTATTGGCTAAATACCTCACTTGAAATCTCAACTTCCAAACCACCCCTTAGTTTTTACTTCCCCAACAAAACATAAATTTGGCCCTCTCCACTTTGGAGGGATGATCAAAGTATGGAAATCTAGAGGTGTTGTAGACTTTTCACGAAAGTTTATAGGCGAGAAATAGTAAATATTTGTGCGGTAAATAATAACTTTCTTTTGTATTTGTCACGAAAAATGGTGAAATGTGTTAGAAACACATTATTTGCAGTTTTTGGTTATTTCGTATTATTGTCGGTTTTTGATAATTGGGGGATTATTTGGAAAAAATCCCAAAGTACACTAGTTGTTAAAAAATTCCCAAAATACATAAGTTATAAAAAAATTTCCTAAACTACACATGTTTGGCATTCACCGTTTAAAAAAAAAGGTGAAGTATTCACCGTTTTTCTCTAAAACAGTGAACCAATAGCAAGTCAATCACCGTTTTAGAGGAAAACTGTGAATACTTCACCGTTTTAATCAAACGCGGTGAAGTTTAAACTGCTGTTGTGGGCCACGATGAAGCGACGCGGATCGCTGACGTGGACAAACGCGGTGTATTCACCGCGTTAGACAAACACGGTGAATACCCCGTGTTTGTTTGCGTCAGCGATCCGCGTCGCTTTTTCTTTCACCGTGGCCGACAGATGCGGTGAGGCGCGGATCGTGGTTTTCTTCCCAGATCCGACGCCTCACAGGTCACAGCTGGTCCACATCGCCCCCATCACCGTCTTTGACATTCGCGGTGTATTCACCGCGTTCGACAAAGACGGTGAAGCATCCCCGAATTTACTCTCGCCAGATCCCTTCCCCCCTTCCCCCAACTATAAATAGACCCTTCCCTCCACTTACAAATCACACCACAACAATTATTCTTCTTTCT